TTGAGCCACAGCGCCACTTCCGGCTTTTTTCTTTTTGCTTATGTGGTGCTGAGGAATCGAACCCAGGGCCTCATGCATGCAAGGCAAGTACTCTATCACTGAGCCACCTTCCCAGCCCGAGACTTTCTTTTTTTTTTGTCGGTCGTGGGGCTTGAACTCTGGGCCTGGGCGCTGTCCCTCAGCTCTTCAGCTCAAGGCAAGCGCTTTACCACTGAGCCACCTTCCCAGCCCCATAAATTAACTTTAAAATGAAGCAAACAGAAGTGAAAAACAGATATGCAACTGTAACCCCTCTGTATATCACCTTTATAATAACAATTTAAAATAATTTTACAAAAAAATGTAGTAAAACCAAATAGAGCTAAAATAAGTAATAGATAAAACAATTAGATTTGGAGACTGTAACATTCCCTTTCTCAGTAAGTGAGACAGCAAAGAGAGCTACAGGTTCTTGAAGAACACAAGCAGCTTGATGTAGTACTTACAACACTCAGAACAAAAGCAAAGCACACATTCTTTTCAAGTGCATGTAACATTGACAACAGCTGACTATATTCTGGGCCATAAATCATGGCTCAATAGATGTAAGATGACTGAAATCACACCACAAGTACCTGAAAAATCTATGAATGTTGGAAATTGAATAGTGCACATAAATACCATTTGTTCAAAAAAAATCTAGGGTTAATAGAAAATAATTGAATAAATAATGAAAAAAACAACAGAACTTAAGGATACAACTGACCTTTAGAAGGAAAAGACACAAATTAGCAAAATTAGTAATGAAAGAGGAAACGTCAGTACAGGTCCTAAGATCTATTAAAACAATGAAGGCTTTTTATAGACAACTAAGTCAATAACTTTGATGAAGGTTAATAAAATGGACACTGTCTGCCAGTCTGGGGATGTGGTTCAGTGTTTGCCTGTGAACTCAGGCATCCCTTACTCTACCAGTAGGAAAAAGAAAAGATAACTGTCAAAGCTTACCCACGAAGATAATCTAAGTAACTAAGTTAAGGTTTTTAACTTTCTGGTTAATTGCAAATTCACTTGCTGGTTAGGTAGAGGAAAAAAAAAAACTAGAGAAGGAACAGTACATGATATATTAAAAGCAAAGTGTCTTCCACTTTATAGAGTGTGTCTTATTTTTCTGGCATTTATTTGTCTGTTTATTTTTTTGTCCTTGCTGGAAGCAAGTAGTATAGTTTTTCTTCTATTTTATTAATTTGGGAATTATTTCCTGAATTCCTTTGTAACTACAAAGCATACTCTCCTTTCATCTTAGCAGCTGTCATGTTTGGACTGTTTTTAAAATGATCAAAGTACAACAATAAATAATGCTAATTAGTGCCTAGCTTCAAAAATAAGAACTGCACATAACAATGGCAAAGCTGGGGCCGGGAAGGTGGCACAGTGGTAGAGTGCTTGCCTCGTGTGCATGAGGCCCTGGGTTCAATTCCTCAGCACCACATAAGCAGAAAAAGCCAGAAGTGGCGCTGTGGCTCAGTGGTAGAGTGCTTGCCTTGAGCTGAAGAGCTGAGGGACCGTGCCCAGGCCCAAGTTCAAGCCCCATGACCAGCCAAAAAAAAAATGGCAAAAGCATTACTAGCCCCATGATATGTGTAAGACAAGTCCATACAAAGTAAGTAACAAAACCTAAGCTGACCCAGCTAATAAGTTCCTAGAATTTTTTAGTCCAAGTCTGACTTCACAGACCATAGAAGATATTATATTACATTACCTATCAAATTGTGTGTGATAGATATGCAAAACCATCCCTTGAGGAAAAATCAGAAAACATGTTTACTGAAAATGAATAAATGAAATGAATTTGCTAAGATGTAATGTACAAATTCATCTTATTTTCCCTTTCATAGTGGATACCATGACGTTACATAGAATCTAGGAAAGCCAGCCATCCTGAGGGA